GTAGCAATGATGTCTATGTCATTAGTTACCTCTATCTTTTCCCAGATGGAGCCAGAGATGGCTGCCATCTGTGATTACTTTTCAGCCATTGCTTCTTTTGCACCCAATTCTTGTTTAGGAAGGCTACTCCTAAAGGTATGATCTTCTTGAAGAGCAAGAACCTTTTGAGTACCAGAAAAAAATATTTATGGAAGGCTTACACTTGTTAATTCTTTTTCCATTTAATAGCTCTTTTTGCTCCCTTGCTTGTATTAACCTTACCAAAAATATTTGGAGAACATAATAATATGTCATATTGAATTTTAGTTTCATACACCAAACAAGCTAATTTTTAGTTTTCTATTCTCACATAATTGCTCTGAGGTTCCCTAAACAACCCTTAAACAGTTTCTGGTTTTGCTGCAGCTAGAATTTTTTTGTTTTGAGTGTGTCAACTAGACCTGAACAAACAATTGCAGTTCAAATATTTTCACTGCTTAATATCATTTAATGGGATTCCCCTGTCTTTTCCATAGGTATGGTAGCTCCTAGCCAGTGTGCAATCAAGTAGTACAGATCTGGTTTGACATGGAGAAAAAACAGGTACCATGCAAACTTAGGCAAAATGCAAACCTTTGCAGTGCTTCTTGATGTTCCAGCTCTGTACTTCGGCTCTTCCAGGACTTTGACCAGTGGCCATGTTGATACACAGCAAGCTTGAGATTCAGACAGCAGAGCCATCTGGGTTTTTTTTCCATCTACAGGTATCCCACTGAGAGACTCAAAGTAGCATTCCTTTCGGAGATACCAGTAACTGCTGCCAGATTTACAGGTGTTGCCCCAGCTGGTTGGCCATCCTGGGCAACGTGTCAGAACAGGGTTTGGCACCTCAATAGCTGGCTATGAATATACACACGAGGAGTATGCTGCTTCAACTCTGCAAAATAACACTCTTTCTCCTGCACCACCCTGTGCTTTGCCTTGCCTGAAGCCATCCGTCTCTTATTTGATTGTGGCATTACTGGGTATTTTTATGAAGGAACAGCCACTGAGCTGCTGATGATTTCCAGGCATGCTCAAGTTTGCCTCTATCAAAGTGCTCTAGACAAAGAAGTGGGGATACCAGGGGATAAAATACCAGGGGAAAAACCCCAAAGCAACTAACTTAGAGCTAAAAGTCTTGTCATAACTGTTAAAATTTTCCATTTTATATCACCTCAGTCTTCAAGATGAGGTGATTGTGTATTGCTCCTGTTAATATCTATGATTAATCACCCAACTTGCTTACTTTGTATCTGTATGTACAGTTCTGCCTTAGCTGACATAGATCACCATGCTTCTGTATCATATATTAATGTGGGGAATGGCAAGACAGAAAAGGGATTTTAGTAAGGTTGGCAAGTATAAACAGAGGCTTTTCCCACAAGACAAATAATGTTAACTTGACAAAATCAACCTGGAAACTAATCAAGATTGTAAAAGGGTGTAATTGAGACAAAGCTTAAATCTTAGAGAAACCTGTCAGAACTGGAGGCAATGTAAAAATAAATATGGAAGAGAAGTAATCAATTAGGTGGACTTTCTGCACTTAAATGTAATAATAAATAAAAATTGTTTAAATGAAGAATTAAGAATGAAAAAAATAATCAGATTTACTTGAAGTAAAGGTTTCTTTGTCCCTACAGTTCTGTTCCCCTACCCAGGATGCTATCCCAGTACTCATATTTTATTACTTATAGAAGGGCATGAAATATAAAGCTCATTTATTTCACAAGTCAGTAAAGACGTTATTGATATTCCATGCTTCTTTGTCCATGATTCTGTTCACACCTCTGATTCTCAAGTGAACACACTATTCTTCACCCCAGGATTCAGTGTGTATTTGTCTATTTGTATATTTTTCTCTTTTATCTTCATTCTTGGGGATTTATGGGTCTGTACCCATGCTGCAGAAAAGTATACTTCATGCAAGACAAATATGTGAACAGGTTGAAAGGCAGAGACAGATGGAATCATCTTTCTGATATCTAAACAAAATACTGTGAACATAATGAAATACTAAAGCATTTGCATTAGTGTGTGAGCTTGAGCTGAAAGAACAAAACTGATGCAACAGTTACTCATATATGAAATTAAAGCCTTAGTTCCCTTGCTGTTGACCTGCCATTACTGCAGGTCATGCAGAGCATCATTTCAGACTTTTAGAAGATAATGAATACAGACTCCTTATATTCATTATAATGAATATAGCTACTTGACATCAGTGAATACATACATATAAGCTACTTGTTGTTTATGCTTGCCTAGTTGGCATTAATTTTGATCTTTTTCACTCTAATCATATCGAAGAAGGAATAGTTGTGGATCTCCATCTTCCCCCCCAATCCCAACACCAGAGAGTACCTCCATTTTATGATAGAAGCCTGCACACATAGTTTGATTTTTAGTGGAAAATACATAAAACTTCGTATTTCAGAGCTAGCAGGTGAAGCCCAACCACAGCAATTGCAGTCCAGTGAAGTAATGCAGCCTCATCATAACTATGCAGGTTCTGAGCATTGCACACAACAAACCTTAGACTGTTGTCACTCAGACTAAAGTTTTTTTAGCTCAGTGCCTTTACTGTAGCTTATGAGGTGGTGTGTGGGAAATGAGAAATGGGCAACTGAGGAAGCTGTTCTTTTCTGCCTTGTGAGGCAGTATGCCTTGCTGCTACTCCCATAGTAATGATTCATGCTGGGTTTCCTATGATTGTTTGTGACTGGGGGAGGTTTGCCTTGATATTTAATTTATCATCCTTGCTTTTCCCATAGCTGATTACTTTTAGAGGTCAAAATGTTGAAACAAGAATCTGTAAAACATGCATCTGTAAATTAAAATAGGTTTTGGAAATGTGCATCCTGACTCTAGGAAGATCAGACTGTTAGGTGAATGCTTTAGCTGTCTTTTATACCAGTCTCTTAATGGGATATGCTTGGTCACAAGTAATAGAGGTTCTATGAGAGGACAAGCAACCCTTTGTTAAAGCAACAGCTTTAACACGGTTGGTTTTATCATGCTTTACAATTCTGTAACACACACTGGTAATATTCTGGGCTTCTTCAATTTTTATGTGTGGATTGGTATCTAGTATGGTATCAATGTCTTCCTCTTATGCTCATTGTAGTTTGCCTCTGGCAGCTACAACCTCACTTAAGCAGAAAATGCCATGAAAATCCTGAAAGACATCCTAGCAAGGAGCATGTTCCACATGGGGCATCCCAATGCCACTGGCAGTGTACTGGAGTAGTTAAACCTAATGTTTATAAATTGAAGGAATCTCAGGGAGTTAATGGAAGTATTTGCAGAACTTAAGATGAGGTATATCCCCGCAAGATAATACATGGTGCTGGAGCTTGGGCAACTGTGATGGGTTAGAAGCTTGCTGTTTGCATGGCACAACTGAAGAACTCAGCCAAATATTGTAGGTCCTATCCAGCTTACAGGGCTGGCTCTTTCTTTTCGATAGTACTAGCGTGGATGTGCGGGAATGTACGTTTTTGGGAGTACAATTTTAGAACGGCTGCCGTGTTTCTTCCCCGTTTTTCCGGTAACGCTGTCTGTGTTAAATGTCTGCAGAGTGTCTGCAGAGCATGAGGACGCGGGCCTGTGTTTTGGCAAGGCGGAGGGCTGGGAAGTTGCAGTAGCCACGTTCCGGAGAGGGCTGCGCACCGCCTTCGCCCGTGACTCCGTGACACCGGCTCTCCCCGCCGAGCCGCCGGGCGCGGCGTTGCCGTGGAGACGGCGCCGCAGGGGCCGGGGGCGGGAGGAGGCGGCCCGGGCGCCGCCAGCACCTCGAGCCCTCCCCGCTCCGCTCTCCCCCCGCCGCCGTTCCCTATTATAGAAGAGCTTCCGGCGGCGTGGACCACTCTGACATCATCCTCCGCACCCCGGTGACGTCAGCGCCGGGAGTGGGGCGTGACGTCGGTGCGTAGGGGAGCGCGGTGACGTGTTCTATTTAAAGCTCCCCGGGTGGAGGATGGAGGCAGAGCGGGCAGGTGCCGCCGCGGGCAGGAGCGCGCTGGCCGCGTGCGGCGCGGGGCTGTAGGGCAGGGCGCGGCTCCACTCCGCTGTTCTCGCCCCTTCCCTTCCCGTTCCCCGGGAAGGAGGAGCGGGACGGAAGGTGCGGGCTCCGCGCGGCGGCTGCGCCTACCCGCCGCGAGGGGACGAGCGGGCGGTGGCGGAGGTGTGAGGCGGAGGCGGGGGATGCGAGCAGGCACAGGCAGCGGCTCGGTGGCGCCGGAGCAGCCGGGCACCGCCTGAGGCGGCCATCGCTCCCTCCCTCCGTCCCACCGGCGGAGCTGAGCCCACGGCCCCGCCGCAGAACAGCGCGGGCTCGACGGCGGCAGCCCCTCCCGCCGCCCGCTGTCAGTGACCGATCCGCCGCGCCCCAGGACGATGCCCGCCCGCTCGCTGCAGAAGAAGGCGTGACGGCGAGGAGCGGGCCCGCCGCCGCGGGAAGGAGGAGCGGTGCCCCGCATCTCCGCAGCCGGGGGTGGGCGGGCGGGCGGATCGGGGGAACGCGGCGCCCCGGTGCCCGCGGGCGACGCGCGGCCGCAGCTCGCAGTCGGTAGCGGCCTCTCGCCGGGAGTCCGATGCCAGCGCCGGTGCCACGGCTCGCTCTGCCTTCTCGGGAGAATGCATCCGTGCCCGCCACGCTGCTGGCGGCGGTGCTAGGGGGAGCGTCGGCGTGGAGCTCTGTGTGCACCGCCTGCCCCATCCCGCTCCGCCTCTGAGGCACACGGAGCCCTCCGCGGCCGCGCACGTCCCGGCGAGAAGCGTCGCAGCCGCCGCCAGTCCCTCGCGAAGAAGGCGAGCGCCTCCCCGTTCGCCTGCAGGAGGGGACTCGTCCGCCCCCGAAGCCACCGCTGCCGCCCGCCCGGGGGCCGGAGCCGCTGCCTGCGGGCGCCCGGCGGGGCCGGTGGCCATGGGAGCCCGGCCCGCGGGGGGCGCTCCCTAGGGCGCGGGCGGCCCCGCTCGGCCCCGGGCAGCTGCGGCGAGCCCAGAGCAGCGGCCCCGCCGCCACGGGGCTGCGGAGCTGCCGGCGCGGCGAGGAGCGCCCCGGGGACGCGGCACCACTGGTGCCAGGCGCTGCCGGCCGCCATGGGGTAAGGATGTCGCGGGGGCCGCCGGGCTGGTGCCGGGGCTGGGGGTGGGAGCGGCCGCCCGCGGAGCTGTGGGCGCTGCTGGATGCGTACGGAGTCGAGGGGTCTCACTGGCGGGGTGCGCCAGCGGCAGGAATCCTGCTGCAGTCGGTGCCGTGCATCAGCCCGGTGAGGGGAGAGCCGTGCGAGCCGTGAGGGGCGCACCGCGAACTGCAGAGGTTTGCCTCCGCCGTAGCCACATCGGAATTCTGGAGGAGCCGTCTCGGCTCCCAGTTCCTCAATGTAAGGATCTTTCCCGGGTGGTTAGGTGATGTTCCGTCCTGAAAACGACTGCTTTAAACTCGGTGCGCTAGGGTGAAATTCCAGAACAGGGAAGGCTCGCTGTCACTCTTCTGGAGTCTTCAGAGAATATCGAACTACGTGGGAATTTCTCAATAAATTGAAGGCTCTGAGGAACTCGGCTTCACAGCAGGTTCCCTAGTAAACTGGAGAATCCACTTGACAGCTTAAGGAAATTAGAAGGAATAAAATATATAAAATTGGTGAGATCTCATACAAATTGGTAGATAAAAATGTGACATAGATACCTATGAAAACTTTCCACAGTCTTATCCTTAGGAATTTGTATAGTGATTTGAAAAAAATAATCCACGCTACCGGGCTTGTCTGATAGTGGAATGGAAACTCATCCGTGTTCCAAAGCAACAGAAACCTGGTATGATCTGGCAAACTGCAAGGTAGAGGCAGTCTACAAAAGTTACAAATTATGTCCTTTGTATTTTGGTAACTTAGGAATTCAGATGTGAAATTGGCATATTACTATGGGAGTTACAGATGTCTCCTCAAGCTGTTTAGGACGTTTGAATTCTTCAATTTATTAACTTCCTTGCATATGTGGTGATAACAGCTGCGTCCTTGTCTCTGTGCAATCACTGGGGGTCACAGGTCAAGATGTAGGAAGGAATGACTCCTTTCTTCTTAGGCTTGTTTTTATTTTTCTGTTGTCTTCTCTTCCATTAAAAAATTCGAACAGAATAAACCCAAACTTGCAATTGTCTGCATATCCAAGAAAATTATGTTTCTGCCAAAAGTCTAAATGATATGATTTTTTTTTTTTGATATATACTTAAAATTGCTAATCTCACACATGATTATGTAGAATTAAAATAATGGAAACCTTCTCATTGATTTAAAATCAATACTATGTTTATAGATATTTGGGTTAAGCATATCATATTACAAATCCACTGAACTGTTGAGCAAACATTTTGTCTCCAGAACTCCAGTTCTCCTAGTGTTTTAGTTTCATAGCTTCTTAATAAACACTACAAATCCCTATATGTAGAGAGCTGAAATAATTAAAAAAACCACAATTGTTGGTGCAATGACTTGAGTAGTATCTTGGCACATTAAGGTCAAGAACACTAAATTTGCTAGCAAATATTTTAAAGACATTTTAGACAGTATGCTTTGGGGTATTGCAATATAGAATTCCTTTGCAGACCATCTTCTAACAAGGAGGACAAACCCTGAAATGTAGGTATGTGTTACTGATAAGCCCACATCTCTGTAAATCTGAGTGAGCACACCCAGGTCAGGGCCAGCACCTACTTAGTGCAACTATGGTTAAGTATCAGACATCTGTTACTGTTCAGAGCAGAGGTCTTGATTTGGTAGCTGTTTTGAATTCATTTCTAAATGGAAGTACCCATGGATTTCAGAGTATTTCTAAACCAAGATGCACTGGGCTTTTAATTCAACAGTTGATACTCTACTAAAAATTGGGCATTCTAGAAGCAAGTTGCAAAATCATTGATAATTCAATGTACCTGGGTCACATGATGGTCTGTGTGTTATATTCAGTATTTAATGGGTACTGGTATGCTATGTGAGCTTGTAGACTGATCTTGTAGTACCTGGCTGGTGCAGAGCTCATCTATTTCAATGGTTAGAGCACAGAAAACTTGGGAGAGGGAAGTTGGCTTGCCAAACTGGCAGGGGTTTTCTTAGTCTAATTACATATAATGAAGAATTCACTGTTCTGCTGTGCAATGTTCGGCACATGCAATGCCATCAGGCAAGCCAGGTAATTATGCATTGGGTGTGTGGTGGAAACCGACTGGTGAGTAACTGGGCTTTGGGCCAGTGCTGCTCTTAAACATCTTTTTTGAGAAACTTGAAACTAGAGAAAGGTAGAGTAGTTCAGGACACTTTTTTATTGCTGTATCCTTTCATCTCACAGGAGGTAAGTGTATCAAGCCCTGTGGATTATATAGGCCAGACACACAGGATGTCCTTTCTTGTTTCTCTATCTGTCAGTCTGTCTCACTTCTCCCAGTTCCTCATTCCTGTTGCATAAAAACAAATTCTTATCAATAGTTACTGTTGAATGATATAACCATTGTGGACAACCTTTTGTTGGATTGACCACATACAATATAATATTCTTTACCAGAGAAACTCATGTTCTGTCCTAGTTGACAACATGTATTCATGTGTTCATTGCCAGTATTGCACAATCAGTCTTTTTTGAGCAGGAGTCTGATTCCATTAAAAATCCTCAAATAACAGCTCTAAAGCATACTCAGGATTTATATTGGCAGCTTAGGCTGTTGTATGCGTTGACTAGGTATGTACTGTGTTTCCAGTTGGAGCCACTGCTATATTTTTCTTGTTACTGATACTGCTTGTACTTCGATCTGTGAGCAGGGGAAGCATAGACAGGGATGCAGTTGTTGTTTAGACTAGAATGAATTCACTTCTTTACAGACACAATGGGGAAGCTGCACAGCTGTGAATACTGGTAGGGATGCAGAAATTGATGTCCCATTAAACAGTATATCTAGTATTAATTCTTGATTTATTGATGTGTAGTCTTTCCATAACTACTTCACATGATGTCCTTTACATGACAGCTGTGGACAAATATCTAAATTTGCTACTTGCTTCTCCCATAGTTCATGCTGAATTATAAGGAATTACAAGGTAAAAGCTTCTGGAAGATGTGCTCATCTCTGTCATGTCACGTTAGTCAAGGTGTCTTTATAAAGGCTTCATCTTCAGTTTTGTTGGACTATATTTAGTATGTTATCCTCATAAAGGTAGTTATGATACGTGTCAGTGTGAGATGGCAGAATTAGAATACTAGGGTTCTTAAGTTGGCTGGAGAATATTGAGAAAGATTAGTATTTCAGGGTATACTTGTTAGTGCTGCACTTGCCTAGAAATAAGTATTTTAATTTTTGGTAGTCTGCGGTTTGCTGATCCCCTCCTAGATCTTACTCTATTTGAAGTATGTGTAGTTAGTTGAACACATTTCTTTAAACAAAACAAACTATATTCTTGTACTGAAATGTTTGTTTGCTTTCTGTATATGGGTAACAAGACGTGAACACTGTAAAGCACTTGGGACCCAGAAGAATTATTGATCATTGAATTTGTCCAGACTCATATTCTTTAACCTGTTTTCCTTCCACAAGACTTAACGGTAGCGTTGCCTGGACTTTGTTTTAGCAATACTTCCATCAGCTGTGCTCCACAGAAATACTTCAGATAGAGCGAAAGGTGTAGCTTCTTGGCTGTAGTTCAGTGTTACTGCAACTCCTGGCCAGCTTGCTGTCTTGGGTAAAATAAGATGCTTATTGTGTGAAAGCAATGGCAGCAAAGTAGTTTATGCTGTCTTCTGTAGCAGAATGGAGAGTATAACAAGTTATACAGATAACAAAACTCGATTATCTATAAAGAATTAGTAACGTATAAATACCAAAACAGATGGCATGTTAGTCAGCCTGAAATGGTTAATAAACTACTTTTCAGAGAACAATACGTGTAGACCTCTACCATGCTTAAATTATATTCTGTCACAGTCACTTTATGACTTCAAAACAAATCTGAGAAATCTGAACCAGATCTTCTGGCCTGGTAAAATATAAATGAGTGTCCTGATCATCATGAGGGGATGATTGCTGATCTAGTGAGGGTACTTGTAATGAATTAAGGTTGCAATTGATCTGTTTTGGTACTTCCACTCATTATCAAGATTTTATAGGCCAACCCTTTTGGAAAAATCCTACTTCTGAAAATAAACATTTAAGTCCTTCCAATTAATTATGTTGAGATTGTTTTTATTCTCAGTATTTATTCTCATTATATTTCCTCTCAAGGCAAGCATCAGATGTGTGTGTGTTATGTGTGTTCTTGTGATTTCTTTTCTGAAACAGCGTTTGCTCTACCATAGTTACCATTATCTTTGCACGACTCATCTAGATGTTGAGCCAGTGTCTAAGGAAATGCAGAGTCTTGGAGCCACAGAGGTTGCAATGGCTTATAATTCTGTAACAGATCAACACTTCTAATTGGGGAAGGCAATGATACTTAACTAGAGCTGAGCAAAGTATTTCTGCCTGCTAGTTAGTAAAAGTTTTAAGTTGAATTTAGATATCACTTTTATTGGAATTTTTGTTGCAAAAAAATTGTTTTTTATGATTGTGTCATAAAACTGTAATTTGATTAAGGGCTCTTAGCTAATCACTCTTTAAATCATTGCCTTTCAAATCTGTGTCTATTAACTAGTGAACTTCAGAGAAGAGCATTATCATAAGATGTAACACTAATTTACTGGTAGCTTCTCTAGTGTAGGTGCCTCAGACATTCTTTTAGTTGAAGCTATGGTTTTCTGAGGTATTCCAAACCATATAAACAATGCAGATGCTTCAGACTAGAACTTAATTTGTCTTCTCCTTTAGATGTCTGTAATTTGGAAGCTGTTGAGGCCTAAAATAATTACCAAGGACCAAGGTCTCTGCAAGTCCAGAGGTTAAAAGTTAAGAGGTGCTTAGCAAGGAAATCCGTGTGGTGTGTTCATACCCAGGCAAGCTGTGACTAGGTCTGGAACGTACCTTGTATGAGTATATGTATATGTGCCTGTGTTTTATCAATGTGCACCTCCTCTGAGACAGTTTTGCACTGGAGAAGACTCTCAGGCTTCCCCACGTGTGTGGTTT